GTTTTCGTTTCCTTCAAAATATTTTTTTGAATAACTTTTAAAAAAGAGAGAAGTAATTCGAACTTTTCGTACTATCTAGAGTTGACGCTACTCTATCTTTTTATAAAGTTAATGAAAAATTCTAGTCGTTTTTCTCCTTGAATACATTGTGAGTTTTGAAGATGAGCTTAATTCACTTTGAAAACAATAGACATTTCCAACTATAATATAATGAATAAGTAGTCTAACTTCTTCTCTATTGATCTACACAAGGTCGAGATCGATAAATTTTTACGTTCAAAAGATATAAAGATTTTTATTAAAGACTATTCACCAAATTGTTTGAAAATCTGAGCAGCTAACAAATATTTTCTTCTCCAAGTTTTTAGTCGTCTTCGATTTTATGAGATGACTTATTAATCTTCGAAGATTTTTTTTCTATTAAAAACATCATCAAAAATCATGCACTGAGTTTATTTTGACGATAATGGTTCAATATCTTCAGGAAGTTCTCGTCAACTTTTATTTTTTTAGTGTTTTCATCGCAAAACTCTTTCAGTTCAGATCGATCAACAGAAAAGAATTTTAATATGTTGACATAAATAAAAGTCATTAATGATTAGTATCATCAGTACTGTAAGTGCTAGAATCATCATCGTCATCATCATTTAAGGCGCCGGAAACTCAAAATTTCAGCCAAATTTCAACAAGACCACGAAACCTGTGGCGATTATTCTAATGTAATTGTCCCCTATGTATGGGCATAATATGAATGTAAACGGAGTGAATCACTTGAGAATATTTGCTCATTAGTGGTATTACTTAAGGATAGAAAAATCCTCTGGATGCTGATAATGAAAAACGTCTTCTGAAGAGGTGTAATTTAAAAAAACTTACATTTACTCAGTGTATTCTTACGAAGTCTTCTGTGCTGACGAGCAAAATAACGGTGTAATGAATCAAAATTATTCTATGCAAAAAAAAAATGAAAGCATTATGTTGTTTATAGAGACATCGAAAAAATAAGTTTGGCTTGTGTGCATTCATCCGTATACATAAAATAGCACATGATCATATACTCTTCACATATCTTTTTTTATACCTATATTATCGTTGTTTTGCTTGTTCTGTCACTCATCACTCGAACAGCTTAGTTGACGGAGAGAGAGAGAGAGAAAATAAGTCGAAGGTGAAAAAAAATGTACGCTAAACTACGCCTTAATTTACCTTTTTAACCATCGTTGTAAGGTGCAGAAAATTCAAAATTACAGAAAAAACATTTTTGGCTATTTTTGCACCTGATTGGATAGAGGGTACGAAACTGATTATTAAAAAGTAGTTTTAAACTTTTCAAAATACATTTTTGGTAGAAAAAAAGTCAAAATGGTCGAATACCGAATTTTTTGGGACAAAACAGGTTAATTTTGAAAATGATGCCATATTTTTGTTTTCTCATTATCCTTACTTCTCTAAATTAAGTTTTTCGTATTCCTTATGTAAAACTGACTATAGAGAACTGTATTATGTCCAGTGTATGGCATTTCAATATAACTTAAGTTCGAATTAATCAATGAATATTGTTTAGAAAAATGCTGTGCAATTGGAATAGATAATGCTGAATCCATATCATCTTTGATTGATAAAATATAATTATTTGATATTAGAATAAAAAAAGAAAAATTGAATAGATATATCATGTAATAAAAAAACAAATAATTTATTTTTTTCTTTTACTTTTTTAGAAATATCTTCTGTTGTTATATTTAATAAATAAAGACAAGATAAATTTGTTTGAAAATCTTCATGCATTTTTTTAAGTATAAAGTGCACGCATTGAATTTTTATCTTCAAAATATTTTGCACAACCTTGTTCATCTTGTGAACAACATGTAAATAAATCTAATCGTGTTATATCAATTAGTAATACAGAATCAAATATAACACCATCAACTTGTTCATTATCTTCAATTACATGAAGATATTATTGTAATAGATAAGTTTTTTTTTGACTTGATCCCATTAAAATCACACGTTGATTAGTATTTAAATATTGACAGTCATTTCCAATAATTTACTTTAAGAATATATTCTAAATCAAATGCAGTATTTGTAAATATATTTTGTTTTAAACGATATTCATTTTTTCTAATATACGATAAACAAGCTGTAAAATTTTTAATTATTGATGTTGAACATTCTAATAAACTGCTTTTATCAACATCACGTTTATCTGTAACATATATTGATATTGAACCATTTCATGCACTAACAATACTGACAACTTCGAATTCTAAAGTTGACACTGGACTGCCACCATCATCGAGAAGTATTTTCATATCTGAACAGAAAATAACGTTTAACAAATATTTTAATAGGATGTGTGAATGTTGTTAAATTAGTTTGATTCCAATTAATAGGAATATTTAAATACATACATTAGGCATAAACATTGTTTACTTTAATTATCTACAAAAATAAAAACATTTAAATATAATTGTTATATAGAAAATACATTAAATGAAATACTCTATTAGAAAAAAAAACGGAACAATTTGACCAATTTGCATTGACAATCGATCATGTCTTACAAATATTTTAAATAAAACCATAATTATCGATAGAAAATATTTTATAATATATCAATGCATTGTTATCGGCTGATTAGATTTTGTACGGTTCTCTTCTTATATATATTTAGTTGTTCTTTTAATAAAAAATGTAAAATAATCTTTTGTTTGTCAAAAAAGCTGTGCCTTACTGGTAGCAATGATCAATAAAACCAAATACTTGTTTAAATATAATCATTGACGCATACTTTGATAATAAATGACAACATAAAGAGTTAATATTACTTTTTTTCGACTTTAAATTAATATGTTTATCTTCAATTAAAAATCAACTAGAATAGATTTGTTTTAACTTATTTCTTTTTATATTTGATGATGATTAATTTAAAGAAGAAAGATTCATTTTTTAAATGACAATATTTCTGAATATTCTTTCACAAAAAAAAGGAAAGTATGGTTTCTTAGATGAAAATTTTTTCACAGTTAACCCTTGAGAGCCGAATGTCCCTTCCAAGGGACATTGGAAAAAACGCTATAGAAGACGTGATAAAGTTGTTTAGGCAACGACCAATATTTTTTTGGACTTTGATGACTTGATAGAATGTAGTGTGAAAAAGAAATTTCTTAAAATCAACTGTCAGAGGGTGCAGCAGGTTTTGGAAAACGCGTGAATTTTTTAAATGCAATTTTGTATTTTGCAAAGTTTTCCTGTTCATAAATATAGCGTGAATTCTAGCTTTTCTGAGAGGCACAAAGTCAAGCTATCGAATGGAACTGTTCCCTAAATTTTTAAGTGACCTGCTGATCCACAGTGATAGCATGAAGAAAATGTCCCTTGGAAGGGACATTCGGTCTTAATGGGCCAAAAAGTTTTAACAATGTATGAATATTACGCAAGCGACTTTTCGTTTATTTTTGATTCTACTAAACACTGTTGTACAGAAGCAATCAAGAGAAGGCTACTTTCTCATCTCATTATCGAAAATTGTCCTTGATTTCCATATGACTTTGGCTGTTATCAGTGAAAAAGTGGATCTTGGTCGCTTTTAAACTCCTTGCGATAGTTCTGATTCTGCTCTAATAAAGCATTCGATAATTACTTTCTTGATGCAGTAAAGCTGCAAGCACAAGCATAAAATGATCGTTGTTTTCTTCACTCATACTAGCTACACCATACTTGGATAACCCCATAAGCGAGTCTTATATTGGAACCGATAGTATATAAATTTTGAAAAATTGTAAAATATTGCTCCGATTAGTTTCTTGAGTAATAAGAAACGTATAAATAGAAGCATTCTAAAGAAAAAATTGCTTTTACATAAATTGATAACAGTGAAAAATTTTGGACCGTTACGACCGACTGTCCCTTCCAAGGGACATTTTATATCTCCGTAAGAAAAATTTTTTTTTTGTTTTTACTATCAATAATTCTTATTGAGATACTAGACCTTCTGTTTTAGCGAATAATTTGTTCAAATTGCGGCGATAAGGCCTTCCGGCTCTTAAGGATTAATAGTGTGAACATTGTTTCAAAGAAATGTTTTTGTTAATTAAATCTTCAAAAAAAGTAATTGTATCTATTTTTAATCTAATTAGAATTATGATCATTTTAACTGAAACAATCAGATGAACAAAATGTTTTTGAAATACCATCTTAAAGGAGTGTTAAAGTATAAAGATTAGAAATTTCCTATCTTATTTCATTGTCGAAGATAAAGAAAAACGAGGATGAAAACAATAGTAGCTATATTTTGTTTCACATTTTAATCCCACAAGAATTATGCTAATAGCTTTTTTCAACATAATTGAATAAAATTCGTTTGAAAAAAAAACCTAATATTTAACGTAAATATGATCTAATCATAAATTTTACACAAAAACTGAATATCAATCATTCTTTAGTAGTTTGATCGTTGGATTGTCTATGTTCTATGACATTATCTGATTAGGTAGTACCACTGTGTCATCTTATTTCATATGTGTGATGAAAAAAATATGTTCGTTTCATTTCATTGTTTGTAGTTTGTTTAGGAAACAAATAAA